GGTAAAAACTTTAAATTATGTATTCCTTTTTCGGGGGGACATTTTCAGTTTGATAACGCTCTTAAAGTCTCTCAAAATGCATTTCGTCGCGCACTATACATCTCCTCAGAAAACACTTGAACTTCCCATACCTGTTCCCATCAATGATGGCACCCAAATCTGCTCAATTGGTACGAATCTAAAGTTCAATATGGCACCATAGCAGCTGTAGAGCCTTACGTCACAACTGACGATCGGTTATTTCCGTCAAGCCTGGAAATGCCAGCGCCCTCTCTTGGCAGACTGGAATTGGCAGATACATTGACAAACCTATTTGTGGCCACTATTCAGACCAATATCTACTGTTCTAAACATTTCTACCATGTAATATGCTTTATCGTTTGAGATTGACTAAGGAAGCTAAAGTTGTAGGTATTTTTGCAATTACGACATCGCATCTGCTAAAATATCAGGATTGTAGTGTGGAGTTTTTAACAAATGAAGGACATTATTCTCCCTATAAGATGTATGCGGCTCAGAGTCACAAGTTTGAAAACGGAGGTAACTATAACAACGCTCTACAGTTCAACACTGGTAAAACATCGTTGAAATATATTTACTTAGTTCTTGTGATATTATTTAAAACCATGAACAATTGAGTGATAGGGGCGGTAGCCTAGTGGTTAAAGCGTTTGCTCGTCACACCGAAAGCTGGGGATCGATTCCCCACAATTTGGGTACAATATGTGAAGCCCATTTGTGGTGTGCCTGCCGTGATATTGCTGGAATATTGCTAAAGGCGGCGTAAAACTCACTCTGAGTTTGTCGTAAGGCGTTACTGCTACTTCCTTGATTGTCCGGTGCAGACTCGAACCTTTACAAATCGCTGGAATATTGCTTATTGTGGCGTTAAATAAACAAACAAAACATAAATCATCCAGGTGAGCTACAGTTCCATTTCACCATTTCTTAAACGCTGAGAAGATGTTTGTGTTTAGGGTTTTTTAAACGGAAATGACGTGAAGAAATATCTAACACTGCAAGAGCTTTTATCATGCTTACAGTGCTTTCATAGTGGGGACAGTACCCAGTCGTATAAGACGTGCAGAGTCGGGTCCCTTGGGCACTCCAAGAACTGTGATTGTTGGTTCGAATCCCAGTTTGCTCTGATTAAGGTGTCAGGTTTGTCAGAACCACAGGGATCTTCATCCCTTCTGGCCTAACTAAATACATTCTAAATGGCAGTGCGGTTGAAACCAAACAATGATCCATTAACTGACGACCATTGTAAGAACAAAGAGTTTGGTTGTTTCCTGGCAATGTGAATGGTTGCCACACAAGAGAGGTCATTAAAGTTTAACGCAATTTATTTTGAGCAGGGATAGCTTCCACATGCTGTTGTAATAATCTTGCAACTTTCATTTCCACACATATACACTTTACCAGTTGGAGGAAATCTGTTATAAGAAATAACAATTCACAAAGAAACAGTGTAAGATACCGAGCACTATCATAATAAACAACCCGGAGATTTCAGTAGAGTGAGTGAGTTTAGTTTTACGCCGCACATAGAAATATTCCAGCTATGTAACGGCGGTCTTTAAATAATCGAGACTGGACCAGACAGTCTAAGTAAACTTAGTATTATTCGTTACACTGCTATACTGAGCCTAACAAGCCCCAGTAGAAGGTCGCGTCAGCTAACCTTTTGAATTGACCAATCAGAACACAGCTTACAAAATCGCGACAGTTAACATTCGCAGATACCGTTTGAACTTTTACCTCGAAAACGTTTGTACTCGAATGCAAACCGAATTTTCATCACGATCGCTTCCGAGTGATACACATGGAGGACGCCATTATTCACAACAGTGAGTAAACAGTTGCTGTCAACTGGCGGAAACATAGGCATTGGCGGATCCAGAGGGGTGTGTGTGTGTGTGTGTGTGTGTGTGTGTGTTTCGAATCCCCCCCTTTTCAAAATGACTTAAGACCACATTGAAGAATGTTTTTGCGTTGGCGGAGCCAATGGCGGCTTCGAACCCCCTCTTTCAAAATTCCTGGATCCGCCCATGTAATAGTAACCATGTCATCAGAAACTGAGCCTAAGTTTACTTAGACTGGACCAGCGATCAACAGCATGAGTATCAATCTACGCGATTGAGATACGATGCCATGTGTCAACCAAGTCAGCGAACCTGACCACCCGATCCTAATCGCCTCTTAAGACAAACATGAGTTACTGAAGGTCAATTCTAACCCGGATATTCAGGTTTGATTCCGGTTGGAATAAACTGGACTAAGTACTGACCAACCATAGAGCTCTGTGACTTGGTTGATGGCGTAATGTCGTACCTGATGACCAGTTGGTTGTTCATGTCATCTGTCATGATGAACATGGAGATATTCAGTCGCTGACGCATACCGAGCGAAACATATTCTGGAAAATATCTACATGCAAGATACCTTTTTGGCATTAACATTATATAAGTTAGCCTTATATCTCGGAAATAAGCATTGCCTGTTTCAGGTTCACGGTAGTTAATGAACGCCGGGAAACATGATTTGGAACTGCTGGTCTTGTCACTCTTGTGGTTTTCTAATCATTGAAGTATATACCACCACAACACCTGACGCAAGGAAGACGCAAGGAAGTAGCAGGACACAATTTGGGTAGATAACGGTGTTTTGTATGTGCGTTTAAAACTCAACCCTTCAACACGGACAGCGGTGTTTTATGTTAAGTCAATATTACCTTTCAGCGCTTCAGCATGGATAAAGCTGTTTTCTATGTACTTTCATGTAAAAAGAAGACAGAAAATACAGTGCTGTCAGGAGTTCAGGCGTAACTCTTGATGTTACAACTTCATACAACTGAACTGGACTGTACATCACATTCTGAAATGGCACAAAATATTCTCTCTGACATTGTAAATGGTTCGGTTTCGGGATTAACACTTGTTTGGTTTTTTTAAGTAGTAACTATTTACCAGCCTCTATCAGCAAGCCCCCCCTCAAAAAAACCCCCAACCCCCCAAAAAACAACAACAACAGAAAACAAAAACAAAGACACAAAACAAAACAAACAAAACAAACAAAACAACAACAACAAAAACAACCAAAACAATTAAAAATATAAATGTAAAAATAAAAAATAGCGAAAAGTGACAACAACATAATGGTCGTTTGTTAAACAACTTTTTTATTCGGGTATCCAAATTTATGAGACAAACCACCAGAGTTGGTCTGTCGATTTCATGTGACTGTGCCAAATTTGGTTTTGTTGCAATTATTAGATTTTGTGTTAGTGAGCAATTCAGCGGTCTCAAATGAAATCAAACGGACTGTAGTAACTATTTTAACCTGTTCTTCATTTATCATCTTTTCACGTGAATTTAGACATTGACTGCTTTCAACGTTCAGCCCAACTTGTCCATGCAACTAATTAACACGTCCAACTATTCTGGCAACCCATCAACATCATGACCTTCTTACGTGTAAATTCACTTCCCCAATGTACGGACAACCACACGTTAAAGTAATAAAAGGCAATGTATTTGAACAGCTTTATTAAAGAAAAAACCAAACCATTTGTGCATACAATCATTGCAGGATGAAAGAAACCCAGCATCGATATCCGGTTCCGCTTGCTAACGAATTTGTCTGAGCAAATTGATCTAGTAATTGTTTTTGAAAATAACCTAATGCTTAGTTGGTCTGAGACAATGCCATCAATACCAGACTTCGACATCAAAGTCACGTTCATATCATTCTCGTCACGATCGAGACAGACAATTGAACATTCTGCTGTACAGTTGAATATTGGTCTGCAATATTACCTGAAGCTTAGGAGTTGTAGTGTCAATATATACTATGCCGTGTGACTAATCACAAAGGTTATGAAACACAGAGCACACTTCATCAGGCTTGGGACTTTCTTTCGGGATTATGGCACTGTAAACGTTGGGTAGGGCGGCAGGTGAAACGGAGGGGTGGGTGGGTGGGGGTGGGGTGGGGTGTCCCGTCGCTTAGGGGAGCATTGTGTTGATACAGAGTAGCATCTGGGCATGCCAGAAACATGTAATTGTGGGTTCGTATCCTTGTTTCTTGATTTGTCTGTACCATACCAGTGGGTTTTACTAACGTCGTAACCTTTTGTGTCTGCACTGTGGTTTTCCTCCAACCTTACAAATACTGTTCAAACCAACTAAACTCACTCACGTACTTGTGATGAAGGGTTGTCCTGTAAACATCGTGTACAAAAAGCAATCGATGTCAACAGACAAAGCAATAATATGTTTCTGGACAATTCCAGAATATTTCCTTGAAGGTTATGGGCCACATGTACACACAGCTTATATTAAAGGTTAACGGAATGTTATACCTAAAAGAAGGATAAACCTAATAATTTTAAAACTAATTGTTGCAGTAGGGTCTGCTATGAACATACTAATTGCTGCCCTCATTCGTAATATGAAGCTGTCTACCGGATTCGGTCACGGAAAAACTTAGGGCAGTTTGAGATGTAAAGCATGTCTGTGAACCTGTGGTTTTGAATGTACCAGAGTGAGAGTGAGTGAGTGAGTATGATTTTACGCCGCTTTTAGCAATGTTCTAGCAATATCAAGGCGGGGGACACCAGAAATGGGTGTTGGGAATCAAACCCGGGTCTACAGCATGAGGAACGGACGCTTTACCTACTAGGCTACCCCACCGCCCCGAATGTACCAGAAAAGACTGAAAACGAATAGTGTCCAAAGGAATACCTATAAGTATAGATTTTATAGTACCTAAAAGGAAATATGTCAAAATCATTTGGATTATTGAGGACACAAGTTCCTGATATTGGTTGGCTGACAGGGCTGAGCAGCTCGTGATGACACAAAGCAAATAGCTTCATATAATTACAGTACGTTCGCTGTTGCCACGTTTTCCTGCACTCTGTAATTGTTGTCGTTTTCCAAGGATTGATTTGGCTAAGTGTTCATATACTACATACGTCTGTAACACGCTAGAAACGTCTATATTCTCATGTCGTCTGCGGAAGCCATCTCGACATGGCTTATGCAAGGTCTATCAGCTAATTTCTCATCGCCCTCTCTTATGTCCGACCAATCACTGGTCGATTGTCCACCATAACAGCTATATTCCTTCATGGGAATCAGCAATGACCGACCGCTACCTTTCCGCTCGGCTTTCTTGCTCCCAGGGCTACAGCATCCCAAATCCTTAAAAATCTGCAACTTTTGGGATTTGGCATTGTCTGGATCACACTCTTCTTCAAACACGTCATCATCACTTGGCTTTGACGTAAGAGGCTCTGTTCTGGCCTTTAAATCCTTTTTTTCCAAGATGGCCGCCGATGTCGTCTGCTTTTTCTTGAAGCACAAAACACAGTAGACCAGACGCCAAATCCTGGTAAAAAACTCCTTCCTGAATAGTATGTAAACCCAGGGGTCAAGGATTTGATTCAAACAAGCCAGACGGATGACCCACAAATCCATGGCATGGTTAACTGGAAACTTCCCTGTTTGGTTGATAATCACCCGCACCTGAAAAGTAAAGAAGAAAACACTCATGTACCAGGTAGGCACTTCATGTTAAATGTCACAACTGCGGTTGGCCTACTTCTACACCAATGCATCAGCAGGCACGAACACTCTCGTGAAAACTGGGGACAGAAACTACCTCAGTAACATTTAAACATCTAAACAAACATTTTACTTCATGAACATGAAAACCCTTGATGTAGCCTAACAAAACAATGTGAAATGCCAATGTTTTAACCTTTACGCTCTTTAGGTTAAATAATGCTCAAACTCTATAACTGGTTAAAAGGTCATTTGGTAAGTTTTTGTTCTTATACGTCAAGGTATTTTGTTTGAGGTCACTAAGTTTAAATAAATAAATAAATTTAAAGATATGGACAGGCATGATATAAATACACACTAGAAATTTTTAATGAAGTTTACATAATCTGATATAGAAACACTAGCGAACCACTCATTACAAGATTATCGGATTAATGATTCGGTATGTAGAGTTGTTTAACAGCCAGTGAAAGGCTCAGTAAATATAATGATCATTTGGTAGTACAATGTTTTTTCAACATACGAGTAAGCTTGCGTCGATATTTGATTGGTTCGATTTATTGCTCTAAGTATTTCGGCCTCATCAATTCCAGGCTAGGTAATCTTTTGTTTGAGAATCAATCTACACACGTTATTGTGTATATGACAAACTTTCTGTGTATTACTAAATGAACCATAAACATACGTCCATGAAAGTGTATTTTAGGTATATGATAATATAACCGGTACCTACTCATGTGATTGTTTCATGCCTGGCGTATGTTGACCGGTTGAGGCGAAAACATTGTATTGGACGTGGTGGTCCTTCAGGTGATTTGGTTGATAGCGTGTTACTGTACCCTTTCTACATTTTAATTTATAGGTGTAATTAACACTTCATTCAATCATTCATTGTCGTATTAAATTTCGGATATAACGCATTAAGTTCACCTTCAATAAATTCCTATCCATACAATACATATAACACAGATTGGGTGGGTTTTCTGTGACACGGCTCCCCGTCAAATTAGATCAGAGAGACAGAGGTTACACTATAAAAATGTATATGTATGGATATACTACAAATTTATGGTCCCTTGGTTATACCCTAACGTCCTTCCGGGATTGTGGTGGAGGGTTGGGGGGATTGATATTCATTATCGTGAATACTACAACGAGCACAATGACTTGCAGAGCCGTTAATATGGCACATCTACAGCATGTGTGACAAAATACCCCTGGAGAGTATTGGTTAATCAATAATTGCAAAGTTCTCTTAATGACTGCTTGTTGAATTCGACTGTTCAAGACTTTTGGTGACTTGGTGGCATGTTTAACCCACAGTTTCTAAACAAATAACACGAAGAACGCAGCTGTGGTGTATTGGATAGAGCCTCTGCCCAGAGAGCGAAAAGTCGGTTTGAGCAAAAGAAGTTAAACTATGGTACTTATTGTTGACCTGCCCGATGTTGGTTATTTGGTGTTAAAACAATGACTGGTCGGCTCGTAGTTAGTTTCTTGTGTTTGAGATAGAACTGACCCCTAGCAACCTATACTGGTCGTGAGTGGCTACTTTGTAAATGGTCAGACTCGGTGACTTGGTTGATAGCGTAACGGTCATTGAACCCCCACAGTCTGGTCTCTTTGCCCGCATTGGCGTTGTCCAAACTCATTTAATTTTAAGCCCTTGACATGAGCTGGAATATCCCTGGAAGAAGGCGAAAAACAATTTCGGATATGCCCTTTAAAAGTTTTGGAAAGCTTCACCGAGGTTGCAGCTCTGATTGAAGAACAATCTAACACGAGTTAGATTGTACATCCAAAGTAGGGTAACGTAGACAGCCAAGGGTGGAGACCTGACCATATAGGCAGTCGTGAGGTGGCTGATGTAGTGTAACTGCATCCTGATGTAATTAAATCTCTCCTTCATTGTTTCCCCATACGCCGTAGTGTACAACTTCCTTATTGTAACATTAAACAAGAGTAACTATTTTCAGCTGATGCATATGACAATGCTCTATATTTTTTTAATTCTGTTGTCAAAACAAGTAACTTCAACCACGTATACAAAGTATATTCTTTTGCATACACTCATGGCATACACTTATATTGCTACATTTTCAATTACAGTTATTTGCTCGCTTAAATGTTTCCCGACTTCCAAAACGGAAGTGCAACAACAGGAGGTGGATACTTTGTGTGAAAGCTACACGAACCATATGCTAGATATTGGCGCCCGCAAACTGGAACATGGGGAAATCATCTGTAAATTTCAATGCAGTCCTTCTTGCCATTCTCCGGGGCTGGTACATTACATTAACTAGTCAAACTTCGAGGACTACTTAAGAATACTTAGTTTGGAAAAAAAAATGAATGAAAGTCGAAAAGACGTTTATAAAATTGTTACAAAGAATATATGTTTTGACCCATGGAAATTATATCAAGATTTGTATACAAATTACAGAAGCGGGTCCAGAATATTGGAAAATTGCGATCACAGATTATATTCATATTTTTTTAGTATTTTAGATTCATATTTCTAATGTGGCATGGAAGATTTGTCAGCGACACTACTGCGGTCTTATAAAACAGTCAGATGACGACGTGAAAGTGTTTTGCCCTAATTGCCACACAGCCATTTTTCATATATGCATCACAAAAAAGTCATTTTCCGCCAAGAAAATCACACAAATGTCTACCCCAGGCAGTGTAATAAATTCGACATGACGTTCTTCCTGTATTCCAAACACAGAGACGTACTAGTGATTAAAAATATGTCAAAGACGTTGCTGTGAACAAAACACCGAAGAATGTTTACAATGTCGATGCAGCAAAACACGTGATTAACGACGTGCAAACAATCATTTTCATTGGTCAAATTATGCCAGAGTTAACCAATGAAATAGCCGATGTTTGGGGTAACAAGTCTGAACAATTAGAGAAACCTGCTATTCAAGGACGGTCGGTAATTTGACTTTTTGCTTTAAAAAAAGACCCATTTGCGTCACAGCAAACAAAACGTGGATAAACTTACAATACCAACATTACTACTCTTCCCAAAGACAGATCAGGCCGCCAAAGATGAATGTGTTCTGCATCGATGGAACTATTTTGTCCTTTACTCAGAATGGAATCTGACGTTTAAAATCATAACAACTTTAACTTAAATTTCACTATGAAAAATAATTGCGTTGTTTATAATTCACTAAAACATAGGAAACGTTTTAATATATTATTGATAATGTAAACACTTGCCTCTATAATGCTAGTGACTACAGCACGTTCTTATTGATGAAATGCATCAAAAATTATAAAGTAACGTGGGTGAGATCCCGTTATACTGGAGGCCTTCTCATCAAACAAGGCCAAGGAGAACTGCACATACTGTCATGATCAATTGCTTATATGATATCGTCTCTAAATATTATTAATCGTTATCGGAGCGACTGAGCTCCGAAAAAGACAGAAACGGTATTTACGCTGCCCATTAGGTATTGATTTTGGTTTGTTTGTTTTTTTATTTCTGGAATATCTGCTACATGCCGGGAGGTTTGTTCTACAAAGAAGCAGTTCTGGTCTAAATGGCTCTTAATTCAGTTGCTAACCATACCTACAGCAGTGATATGAATAATGGTTACACATGATATGATTTATGATTAAGTATTAGACATTTACTCTCCTGTCGTTTGACATTTATTAATATCAACGGTTTGTTTCTAAATGAGTGGGTGAGATGGGCATCACATGTCTGCTTTACCCGTTTACCCCTGTGGTGAAACTATCGCAAAATAACTGAAGCAAATTGGAATTCGAACCCACGATCGTAATTTTCACGATCGTTAACTGAGTGAGTGAGTGAGTGAATATGGTTTTACGCCGCTTTCAGCAATACTCTAGCAACATCACGGCGGGGGACACCAGAAATGGGCTTCACACATTGTACCCATGTGGGGAATCGAACCCGGGCCTTCGGCGTGACGAGCGAACGCTTTAACCACTAGGCTACCCCACCGCCCCCTAAGTTAACTGGATTAGTCGTACCCCGTGTCTTTAATGTATAAACAGCACATGCACAGCACATTGCTTTGTAACTATGAATAGTGATAATAGTTCTGACAGTTTTAATAGATGGCATTGCATTTCCATAACTACTCTTTCTCTCCAGAAATACATGCAAACATCACTCTCCAGATTCGATGACTGCTGTTAGTTACATATATTGTTGTACTGAAGGGATGGCTGAATGAGGAAGGACTTGATTATTTTTGCACAAATTTGATCGTGTTCAAGATACTCATCACTTTTCGAACTCACACCTTGATATTACTTAATTACTGTTAAAAGATGTGTGCATTAAACTCACTCACTCATTAACTCACGCACCTGTCTAAAGAGAGAAAGTGTACCTACCATTAACGGTGCATAACAGGTGGCAAATACGAGTATTATACCAGCAAGGAGAACCATCATTTGAGCTTCGTTATCCAGCTGTCCAGATTGGCTGTATTTGTGGCTCATGTTCAGCTTCCTCCTCATCTGAGCCAGAACACACATGACAGCTGCGTTACACAGTGCGGTCATGAGAATCACCACCAGACCCACACTGGCATAGAAATACGTGAACAGCTTGTCCGTTACCTTGTCCCCGGTCCAGTCAAAGAAGCACCAGGTTCCTGGAAACTGAAGAACGTTCGTGCCAAGACCCATCAGAGGCAAGCAGGACACCACGAATGCAAATAACCACACACCTGCTAAAATGAATATCACCTTTCCCGACGAAAATTTGGCTTCGTACTCGTAGGGGTGTATAATGGCCACGTACCTCTCAACAGCCATCACACCGACAATTAAAACAGTCGCCATCCCAGCAAATATCATCATGAAAGAGAAGTAGTTACACAATGGCTGTCCTCCAAGCCACCTCCGGCCATTATTGTACACCATGATGGTGACAGGGGACACGGCCGCCGTCCCGAACAGATCTGTACAAGCTAGCCCTCCAACCAGTCTGTAAAACACTGTTCGTTTGTGACTGTTCCTTGAACGATATAAAACTATCAACGCCAATACGTTCCCGAAGACTCCGCTGGCAAACATGATTGCAGGTACCGCGACGACTAATAAGGGCTGGATCTGTCTTGTTGATGGACTGGAAGAGTTACTGTTGTTGCTGCTTTCATTAAAGTCAGATGTATAGTCGCTCAGGTAAAGCTCAACTGAATTTGAGCTATTCTCCATATTGAGGTAAAACGCAAGGGCTGATTCCAAACAATGTTTCCAAAAGCTGCAAATGAAAAGCTTGGTTTTAGGGTTTGAAAGGAATACAACTCCGTCAGCTTGAAACACTAATCAGGAACCCTTCATGAAACCATCAACACGTCGCTTCAAAGAGTAACCTGTATAGGTAGAACCGTTAAGTATTTTGAAGTTTCACTTACATGTCGAGCATCAATACACTCCGTAATGTTTGACTTTAGAGATGACTTCCTTTGCACGTCCAAGAATATTGTAGTTTCAGAAACTCTCAGAATAACTCGTGGTGTCTACGTGAACTTTTGCCACCTGTCTTTTGATCTCTCGTGCCACCTGACTTTGCCTCCTCGAACCTCCGTAGATTCCCCACAGAATAGCTCATCAAGTATCAAGCATTGAAAGCTGTGTTCCACGTAAACGCCGTGTATATTCCACACTCGCCCAATCTCATCAATGCGTTTCCTGTTGAATTGTACGGCTTCTAATTTCCAGCAGAAACAACTGGAGAGTTATGATAAAACACACCCAGAAGGCGAACTGCGACGTTGTTTGCTCATAATTCTGCGTATATAACATTAATCTTGTAGAAGTGTGAGATGTTTGGTCCGGTCCTGAATCAGAGAACCATTTCCTCAACAACTGTTTCCATTGGTGCAATGGGACTTCGTATGATCAGTCATAAGTAGAGCAATTCCTCGAACTAAGTCTCCAATACTCTCTGGCTCTGTCGAGTTAATAACCGGACTGTTTAAAGCGGCCCTTGCGATTAGGGAACAAATTCCAAATGAGCGGGATTTCCCTGTGCAAACACGAGAGCATGGACGTAAAAAGTCGGAGCGTAACATTTAGCGGTTCCGAGACTGAATGAAAAACACCATCGAGTGTTTATAAAGCGGGCGAGCGTGAGTACTGCCCGTACTGCTTGTCCGATTGATTTGTAAAGCGTGCCCCAGTGTTAGTTACAAATCTGCAAGGTTGGACTTAATTGACGCGCAGCCAATTGTAATACTATTGATTTACAGTTCTTCCAAAGATAAACAATTCTAATTTCAAAAGTTGGAAATTGTTTGCATCCAGCTTTCGGATCGCCATATCAGGAAGAACTAAAGTAGTTATCAATTTGGTTTGCGTTATTTCTTAACGGTGATGATAAAGTCAATAGATAATTTGTTTTCAAGCTTCATTAGCCTTTCTGATATAACAACTGAATACAATTTCTTGTTTTATAATTAAAGGTTGGCCCATGAACGTTTATATTGCTTCAAGTAGGAGTATCTTTGATTCCTTTTTTCAGTAAAACAAAAGACCAATAAAGCGGTAAGTGTACAGGTCTGGCACTCCTGACTGAAAACCATGTCTCCTAATTTGGTTTAAACTTGTGTTACAATGTTTTGCATCAGCATAGTAGTTTTAGCATAGAGCACATCGTCATGGTAATCTTTTCGGTGTGGATGGTACATTCAGTAATCCCAGATGTGTCAGATATACACTTACACATCCTGCAGTGAAAGATGTTCTACTTAACAAAACCAATTATCTAATCTAGCGGACATATTGTCTACGAATGTATTTGTGCGTCTTAGAACGTGTTTCTATCATGGTGAGATTTCGGTATCACAAGTTATAGTGTCAGAGAGTAGAGACCAGAGTTAAGGTGGCCATCCCATGGTAAATGAATGAACGGCATGTTTACACATTCAGGTCAGTTGTGTTGTGATATATGCTAATTTATAAATATATGCCATCTGTATGCCCTGACCCTGGAGCTGGTGTGTCTTCTTGACCAGTATTCGCTTGCGCATGACGATCTTAGCACTAAGACTCTCATGCTTTAACATAGAGAACAATTGTCGCCTTTAGATCGCTATGTGTAAGTGGATCCGAGGATAGCCGTTCATCATTGCCTGCTCACAGCATTGACTCAAGTACCCGTGTGTTTAGAGGTTATTAGCGACTTGTAGAAAAGTCAGTGTGGTTCTAGCGGCTGAAGTGTGCACAATGACATGTGTCAACCAAGACCGGGAGCCTGACCATTCGATTCCGTTAGTCGCCTGGACAGCATTGTTTGCTGAAGAATATTCTAACCCGGATCTTCACTTGTCGGTCAGGAGGTAACAGCTAAAAGCTATAGGTAGAGACTGCGGAAGTTTCTGATCTGAAGAGTGTATGCAGATGTCATGCCGAAAGCTATACATAGTGGTAAACGAGGTATCAAGCTTACCTTCACTGCACTGAATAGCTTGAATGGCATCCATGGTTAGATGTGTATACAGGACACAGCTGTCAGGTGTTAAAATCAGTATATAGAACTTGGCAAGTGTGCATGATAAGGATGTCAAGATGTATTGGATATACAAATACATCATTCAGTATTGGAAATCGTCCTTCATGAGGAGCTTTTTTGTATTTTGAGTATATATGGAGGGACACCAGTGTCCGAAGTTAAAAAGATTCTCACAAATAAATGTAGACATAATCGAGGGTTGTTGTTATGTCAGACACTATTATAAAGGTTCTTCAGACTTAAGGCAGCTCTTAGCATGACCAAACATAAATAGAACCTCAAGGGTGCCCACCGAGCTTTAACCAATGTCCTTTTGCCTCAGCTAAAAGTTACTCGCGGGTGCTATTTTAAATGTGACTTAGCTAAAAGATGCATTAGCGAGTTAACAGTATTTTAAGAAAAATCTTCGAATACTATAAATAGTAACTAAGATTGCAGATCGATATTTGCTTCGATATAATGAATTCAGGAACGTCTAACTGAGACGATATATAGTGCAAACAAAGCTTTCAAATCTGTAACTGAAATTCGGCCGGGGAAAGACTCCCGTTACAGATCGCCTATACTTTTAAAAGCCGCTGTGGTGACACCAATTGAGCACGACCCCACGGACCGCTCTCATGTGTGTACAAGCAGTAGGATCTTCTACCGTTCTAAATGTCAGGTGTTTCTTCAGTGAAACCTTAACCCGGTTTAAACAAACCTCATCCACGTATCCTTTCTTAAATGTCTATATGACACCATGCCTACCTCTGTTTTCCAAGGGCGGTAGGGTAGCCTAGTGGTTAAAGCTTTCGCTCGTCACGCCGAAGACTCGGGTTCGATTCTCCACATGGGTACAATGTGTGAAGCCCATTTCTGGTGTCCCCCCGCCGTGATATACCTAGAATATTGCTAAAAGCTATATTCACTCACTGTTTTCTACCTGAGAACTCGATATCTTCAGTACTCTTATGTGATCCTCTTTCGAACTCCATTCCTTCTGAAACAAGTTGAATCATTATGTTTTATTGATGCAATGCTAGTTTATCTGTAAATATGAGACCGATGTACAAGTCGCTTGAAACGGAAGTAATATGCTGTATGTCGAAATTACTTTTACTCTCTCTTTCACTGAAACGATGACAAAATTTAGTAAGAAAATGTATACTAAATAAAATGCTACCGATATAACAGGACTTGTTTTGTGAACATCTGGTGTCATTACTAATTTTCATTAATCCATTTTTAAAAATCTCCCTCGCTATTTACCTGTAACACCCCATGTACCGGTGGATAATCGATACTAGTTATTCTCTGGATAATCGATACTGGCGTTGGCGTAAGATATTTCTCATGATAATTCATTTCATATGAAAAGAATCCAATATTAACCATACAAAACCTAATGATCCTTGATCGTCCAGCATATGTCATACGGGCTGTATATTTCGATTGGGCAGGTATTATTCTGGCCATTGTTGACCAGTCGTTCTGCAACAGAAGCCATATTCAGGTTGCGGTTGACCCTAAGAAAACAGTAAGACGATCCTCGGCTCAACCACTCCGACAAATATCCATGTAAATTAATTAGCTTCAACCAACAATTGATCCTCAGGCACAGAGTCTGTTCTTTGTTAACAGAATATTCTGAAGGAATTGACCAGATCCTCCGAACGTGCGACCTCAAAGCTTTATGTCTGTTATGACGTAATGCCAAACTGCCCGAAGCTCTACAATTACAATTTTCTCAGCTTACTTAGTTGAATTTGTTTAATCAGATACCACTACAGCATGTTCCAGAGTCTTCTGTGGTCGGAGCTGATTTCCGGGGAAGATTAACTACATATGGAAGCAATGGTTGTGTTTCCCCGCATCCAATCATTCATGGCCATCAGTACCAAACATGATCCTCATCAATCCAGGCTTCAAATTGGCTGTATAGAAATGTGTGAATGTTACCCGTTTTGCATTTTTTCCACCTTTTTGAGTTACCCTTTGATCTTTATTCATTTGCGTTTTTATCTAAGACTTGCAAACGTTTGTTCATGTAATACTTGAAGTTAAATTCAACAGTTCACGATGTCTTCGGACTGTTTCTTCAACAAGTTCTACATTTTACTTGACAAAGTCACGAAGTAATATCCTTCTCGGACGTGCCAGTATTTCACCATGTTTTCATTCTGGTCTTCTTCATATTGTTTACATAAAAGTCAAAGAGACCAGGTTTTTTCTTCATCGTTTCTTCGCACTTCACCTGATGATGTAGCAAACTAGATTCAACCTTGGACGTGACCACGCTTCTCACTGAAATTGTCCTCGACCAGTTGTGCTGTGAAACGTCGAGCAGGGTAATTCTTCTAATGGTCCCATGATGCCCTTACCAGAGGCAATATTACTGTTCTAACGATCGCATACAAATAGTTATTTGATGTCATTTGGTATTATGCACATGTCTTCCCAGAGGTGTAACAGTGTGAATGAAAGGATTAATACTCTGCTCCTAATAAACATAAGGGGAAGAGGAAAGACGCCATACAAGGCAGATATGTTTATTCTGCTGATTTTTCTTAGGCGAAAGAGATTTGTTGGATGAAATTAAACTTTCATTCACCCGTTCTACTTGTTGTAAAAAAGATCACTCAAGACGACGTCAATATTCATAGTTGATAATGATCTGGAGTCTGTACTAATTCTTTTACTACTGTAGCCTTACTTCCAA